ATTGGACTATCTTTACCATTTTTACTAGAGATAGTTCGCAATTCGAGCGATTTCCAGACGCTCTAATAGACGTTTTAATTACGCGTAGTCATTAATTCTCCGACTCAATTCCAACTTCAATCAGTGAGGGTAAAAAAAAAAAGTCGAGGCCGCCGGAAACACATCCCATTCCAATACCCCATTTCACACTTGATAAAGTGAGAATTCGAAGTTAATTTGTCCACTTCCAGAGTAGAGACCACCTAGTATATATTCACATGACCTCTCTACACACCTCCCAAGCCAAATTGGTCAGAGTCACAAGTACTAGTTGGATTGTAAATTATTCAATCCTTACCTCTACTTTACCAGTTACCCTGTTAACCCCAAATGCTATCCAATGAATAAGATCGTGTTTAGTGTATTTGCGGTCGACGCCACGTCATATATATGCAAGATTGTATTCTCGGAAGGGCTGTTTTGTACGTTCCTATGAGGTCAAATTCGAAATTGGTCAGAGTCACAAGATGGAGTTGTACATTATTCAATCCTTACATCTAGTTCACCAGTTACCCTATAATTCCCAAAGGCTATCCAATGAATTCCGTATAAGCTCATTTACTGCATTTGCAGTTGTAGCTAGCTCATACATACGTATGTCTATGCAAGATTGTATTCTCGGAATGGCTGTTTTGTAGCTTCCTGTGTGGTCAAAGTCAATTGTCGAAGAGTCGTTTTAATTTTGACCTCTCCACCACAACATCATGACACTGAATATCTTTTTCCTTCGTATTTACTACCGTATTACAGAATAGAATTGTTTTGACCACGAAATGACGTCCCTACGACAATAACTAGATATACAGTAGCACCAGGCAGTGTGGTGGGCGGGGTTCTTCTGTGTGTCCCATCGCAGTTCCATCTCCTTCCCACATTGAAACTACTCACTGAGAACATCATCTCCTCTTGAAGGACACGGATTGATGGAAATAATGACCCTCTTCCACTCTAAACACCGTTATCTGGAGGAAAAATGGACCGTTTTTGCTGATTTCTCTTTGATTCGCCTGGAAGGTCGACCGACAACATACGTTTTGTCAGCTATCCTGAAGCTTACCGATTCATCAATGTCGCGATGGGCTGTTGTTAAAGTCAGATTCTCTATTCTTGTAGAGTAGCCCTGACCCTAGATCAAGCAGACTAAGATTGTTGCTTCCGGGTACGGAACGGAAGTATTGGTTTGAGTGGGATTGTCTGTGGGTTTGTGTGCGCATGCTTATCCTGACATAGTAGGTTAACAGCACACATGGTTGGGGAATGACTGAAAGAAAGGAAGTTAGAAAAAGGCCAAACACAGGAAATGGGCCGTTATTGGTCTCAGAATCTGGCCGGATGTCAGCAGGAATTAGAGGTAGACATGGGGGAAGCCGAAGATTGCATTAGCAACCCTCCAACCCTGCACAGTTTCTATCCTGGTCCCGATTCAAGCCTGTCATACAATCTCGGCTGCTCCAATAAATTCACAAAAACCCCGGAAGACTGAAATCTCCAATTTCTTGTTCCATGTAATTATTCAACAGTGATATCTTTGGATTAGCCTGGATCCCAGTCTTTACAGATTCGCTCGCTATATGTATATCTGCAGCTGACCGCTAGAAATAGGATCAAAGCTCCACAGGGCTAAATACCAGGCTAGCTCGAGATAAATCTATGCTTCTCAATCATTGTAACGTCCAAAGAACCGACTTTGCTGGTACTTGCAACCGTGCAAAAATCGTTCCGGTGAAATACTCAGCTCGACAGGAATCTATAACGGAATAATCGACTAGGAGGTAGAAACGGCATCCGTATTCAGGCACCATAAACCTTCACAGAAACACGATAGATAGAGTTACAGTATTACTCAATGTTGGCTTGTCTGCCAATCGTATCACAAACAAGCATCGCGCACACTCGAAAATGGACTTCAAATGCTTCAAGATACACTGCAAGAAATCGATGAGAACGATTCTGGAAGTGCTCCATTTATTGTCGGAATGTACTCGAGCAATTTTCTCGACGACGTAACTCGATTTTGTCGACAAACCGCCCACGGAAAAGTGTACCCTATCAAACGGGCACAAATTGGGGGAGATTACAAGCCTCGGGTGGGTAATACTCTAGCGGGGAAACACTGTCTCGGGTAAGACAAAGCTTTTAAGTGAACGATCAGAAAGTCCACATTCCACAGCGAATATCCGCTCTAACATTGTTATCCACAGAAATCATGGTCTTCATCACTCAAGGCGCGCCGGCAGCCAGACGTAATTTCCAGAGTATACCACACAAACCACCTCTTTACTACTGGTTATGTGCTGGAGGACAGGTATAAGACCGCTTTGTGGCTTTTCGCTGTAAAGTTCATTGGAAGTTCAATAAAGTTTTCATGTGCAAGGCACCAGAAAAAAAAAAACCTGGCCAAGTGCATGTCTATACGTCATATTCAAGATCATGGAAAGAAACCAGATATGTAAATTTTCGTCAGATTTACACATGCTAAAAGATTACGGAAAGGTCGATTTGTCTTTCAGTTGCCATTCCGGAATCGTTAATTCTGCTGATATGTGTCACCTCTTTTATTATAGTACCTCTTTACGTTCTTCGTAAAGTTGGCTTAAATATCTAGATATCTGTTTTCGTGCTGAGTAGCATCATAATAAAGGCGTTTGAACGTTAGCAATCTAAGACTAAGATACGTAACTTATTACTCAGGGTACGTAGAAGATCAATGAATGTTACGTTGTGTTTGCATGGGTACCCGAGTGTTCATGGTCATCATTACATGTATCATAGTTGTAAGTATGAGGCGCATCAAAGACGAAAATCACATATTCTGAATGTCAGAACCATTTTGCTCCACATCGCGTCAAGGAAGATGAGCATTTTCTCATCTCTATCCCCCAGTGTATGAGATCTATGTGTCATGATTGATGTTCTGTTCTTATTTGTCTTTCACGGTGATAACAACGTCCACTGAGCAATCTGGGCTTCTCAGATGTAAGACAAAATGTTGTGTTTCCGATTTCCGTCCTGAAGAAATAGTTTCAGTAGGTAGATTTTTTTTTCTTTTTAGATTTAGCTATAGGTTCATGTGACAAAAACAGTTTAAAAACTGTATTTGTTCGAAACAATGTAAGAATGAACTGCATCAGGACCGGGGCTGTCTTTGTCAGAGAGGGAAATTGTTACCTGATTTACTCAATAAAATAAAAACATAGTTTGCTTCTGAAAATGCGATTCAGATGGCTTGAAATTCAGATGTCAGATCTAACATTTTCAGCGCTCGCCAGATGTCTACCCACCAAAAAGGCTAGGGTCTGCTGTGTTTTCCTAGGGTCGCTCTGGAAACTAAACCGAAAACACAACATTTTCCTCTAGGCCTTGGAGTATTCCTCGAGTTATTTGTCCTTCCCTTGATCCGATCAGTGTACAAACATAAATACCTTCGAGCATGGCTCATCTCTGATATAGATTCGTGCGGAAAATTGGCAACGTAACCATCATCTATTACTCTTGTTGGTGACAAAGTGCTGCTGACATCAGGAGAGATAGATCGTAGGCAATTTCGCCTGTACCTAAAGGGAGCACAGTACAGAGCCTGATATCGATGGTATCCTGCGGGCCTGTTGTCCCATCCCTCCAGGGCACTGATAGCTACAGATAGAAATGAGTGGTCGCCGAGAGGCACGTTTTGGCAAGCGTTCGTCGCCTGCAAACATGAAATAGATATTCCTTCTCTGCATGCATTATTTAGACAGCATAGTGGGACATCTATATCTGTATCTGTATAGCCGGTATAACCGCCCTTCGGCTTAACACACCAGCTTCGCAGGCACGCGGCGCAGCGGCAGCTGGCTACATTGCACCTAACGACTTGTTAATAACGTTACACCTAAGCGTTGAACATCGCTAAACGTTGAAAGCTATCAAATAATGACAACGGGGGGTGCCCTAATTCCGACCCATCCCTAATACCGAACTAGTTTGAAAAATCCTTGTTGCGCCGTTATGCATGGGAGCACGTGCCTAAAAATAATCACAAGAATGGACAATGTTTTTGTGTTGATATCGGTAATCTCACAAAGTTTGTTTTAGTTCCTACACTCCGACAACAGACGAGTGAAAAATCTGTGTGAATTCGACGCTTGTTCGGGGGTTGACGAACGTGTCAAAAATGCAGGTTTTGCTTTTCAAACAGCCACTTTGGAGCAAGTCGCGTAATCGTAAAAAGAGGACTTGTTTGGGACAGAAAACAGTTGTAGATTGTTTTAGTCATAACTTGTGTATTATAATTTCTAAACTCTCTTCTCAGATCAACCTGTGTTAAACACTAGGTTGGAATTAGGGCACCCCTGTTGCGATAGAACGTTCCACCGGCAAAATGACCAAAAAACTGCCGTGCGTTTCGTGAGCCATTACGCTTGGGTACAAGGCGCTACACTCAAGTAAAATACACAGATGTGCAGCTTTAATCGTTGTGATCTTTATCTGTCAATATTATAGCTCATGTTGCGCGGGTTTTTGGTCAAATAAACTATTACCAAAGGTCTGTGCGTTTGCATGGAACATAGCTCGGAATTAGGGCACCCCCCGTTAGCCTCTACCAGGCGCCACGGATCGCTGGAAAAATAGTAGAAATTGGCCGAAATAAAGGGATACTAGTAGTATGTACCAGAGAAGATCCCGGGCCATAGAAGATCCAATTTGCGACCCGTGGCTATACGGCATGGACCAACTTGCAAAGGTATTTAGGGCACTCTAACGTGCAGTTTGGGTCAAAACGCCACGGTGGCGCTATTCAACACCATGGCATAGCAAGACAAGACCCAGGACAAGACCATCGATCCGATTCCTTAATACCGGACCTCGACCAAGAAACGCATTAAAAGTAATACATTGTGTATATCATAAACCATGTCAATATTAACGTAACACTTACCCATATAACATTTAGCATTTATCAGCAATATAACGTTCGATACTGTAAGTAACCACCCTCTAATCGCGTGAAAGTGGTATAGTCCTGTAACCTTTGGACCATAGCCAGGCCATCTTGGAAGCTGTTTTGCGAGCTCATTCCCGCAAAGGAACTAGCATTTTCAAGGTATTTATGCGTTTCTACTACCTTGAATTTTCGCTACAGATAGTTAAGGTATACATCTAAATGTAGTGACAACTATGGCTCGCACTGACTTGCCGTTCTTGTGTACAAGTAAGCAACAGCACAGCAAATTTTGAAGTAAACATCCAACTGGTAAATTTACTGCTGTTTACTGATAGCTGTTTCCAGCTGTGCCATGTTTTCGCGCTTTTGTGTACATCATTTATACAGCATGCAAGAATTTTATCGCATTTTCGACGAGGTTTTGGACGTAGAAGTCCCGTAAATTCTAAAATTCCTCAGTTCATTGTTGGTTGCCTGTAGCTGTATAAAACCTATCGGTCGTTGACCTTTCGCTGACGTCACATCCTGGTGACTCACCTGCGTCACAGCAGTAATAGTCACACCTGGGTCACGAGATTTTACGTCCGTTCCCTATTGGTCGACGTCACATTACGTAAGGATAAATATAGCCCCCAGGACAATATATAAGTAGGCGGTGCTGCGTTTGTGCTAGTACTAGTACTAGTAGTAGTCGTCGTCTGTCGCCATTTTGATTTTTTTCGTGTATCTTTTGTTTAGACCTTAACTGCAAAACTGGGGAACGTTAACAAGACACAGGAGAAGATGTCCAAGAAGGGTAAGACTTTCTTAAGATTATCACTTTTCTTTAAGACTTAAGTGCCGTCTTAAGCGTTTTGGACACCCCTGTACCAAGGGGATGTTGTTACATTAAGGCTGATGTTGATTTTTTGTGATCAGCCTTCCTGGTGTGATCTCTTACTTAAGACAACAGTTAGTGCACCTTAAGATCTCAACTTAAGGAATATGGTCTTCTTCAAGTGTTGTCTTACCTAACTTAGTCTTAGTATGCAAGGCTTAACAAATTGTTGTACAATTTCAACTGATAAGTTACATACTGTGAAGTGAAGTTTCAAAGTTATTGAGGAAGTGTTTGGGGTTTTTCACTTCAATTTCCCCCATTAAGGATACTACATAGTACAGAATACAGACATAGCTTTTGTTAGTTGAATCAAGATATATTAACTCAACATCAAATCACTTTTGGCTTAAATGTTACATGTACATCTGTAACTGTAATTTATATGGCAATTCCCCCCACCCCCATGTAAAATGAAATCTGTTGTACTTTGTTTGAGAAACGTAAATAGCTTATAACATCATGTCTATAAGTAACATATTTCTCCATGTCCAGGACCATACCCACCCCAGCAGCCCTACCCCACCCAGAACCAGGCTGCCATGGCTGCACAACCCCCACAGGTCCCCGGGGCACCGCCACCTTACATGGCTGTAAGTAACATTGCCTTTCTGTAGCACTGTAAACTTGTTTGTTTTTGTAGGTTTTCACAATAGAAGGCAAAAGAAGGTTTTTGTTTTGTTTTATACTCATGGTTGAAACAATTCTGTAGTAAGGAAGTGATACATTGGACTTGGAGATGCATATATGTGGTGTTATGAATTTGCAGTGGAGTGACCACTTAAAAAATCTTGAAAATTAAACCACTACAAACATTGCAAGATACACATAACACTGATAACAGTACATGTATATCTATAACCAGTTGCAGATGCATGCAAAACTGGTATAGTATGCAGAACAATTCAAGTACAAATACAGACAGATATCCTCCAGATTACTGTTAACTCATAGAAAATGAAATATCCTCAAGTAAACTCATCCACACTTGCTTATTTCTCATAGTATTACACACACTATTACAGGTCTGTAGCAAAGTCATTTTTTATACACATACATAGCCTTGACTGTATGATCATGTTTCCTCTTCATGTTTCCCCCCAGCACCCACAGGCACAACAAGGCCCACCGCCGGCGTACACATTCCAACAGCAGCATCAGCAGCCCATGCAGTACGCCAACGCGCCGCCGCCGCAGATGTACGGTCAGCAGCCGGTGCAGGTGGCCATGCAGGTGCCGTACTACGCACCTGGGAGCACCGTCCATGCACAGGGCGCCTTCGACTCAGGGGCCAGATTCGGGGCAGGAGCCACGCCTAACATTCCTGTGAGTTTTCTACGACTGATTTTCTTTTATCAGAAACTGTGTCAATCAATCAAGTTCTCAAACAGGATTGAACTATGAATTTCCAGCACATTCCTTACCCATATTTTCGACTGTTAAACTCCAGTCTGTGCAATCCACCACTTTTGTGACATTGCATTATAGTATTTATACAGATAGAATATTGCAGTTAGATGTTTGACCAATGAGACAATGGCAATTAACAGTGCGACCAATGAGTGAGTGGCTGCATACCTGTCAAATATTTTGATTTTCAAATGTTTCTATTTTATTTTTACATTGCTACATTTTGCCTGAGGTTGGTGGGGCTTTGGGATCAGACTGTTGTTTTCATGTGCAGAAATGAAGAAGGCTTAATTGTTAAGTTAAGTTAATGTGAGAAGTGAGATGTTAACCTAGATGTTTTTTGTGTGCTGTCCACAGCCCCCTCCCCCAGGAGTGATGCCTAACCAGGCCCAGATCGCCGCCGCGCAGGGCGCCACAGTCGTAGCCACACAGCAGAAATCCGACTTCTTCACGGGTGGATCGGGAGGCGGATACAGCCTGTTCTAAACCAGCCGCAGGGAAGGTTTTCTAACGAAGGAAGTGGTGAAGAAAAATGGTGCAATCTTGTATACCTGCACCATGTAAAAAGCTACTCTCTACAAGTACCCTGTACCAATACACCTTGTATTTCAAGGACAAAGACATTAACTGCACGATTTCTATCTGCGTGTCATACCCTGTGCATTTCAGGCCAATTCATTTGTGATACAAACTAGATAAGGTGATATGCTTTTAATCCAGCTTGTTTGCGTAAAACTTTGTTTGTGGCCATCAGTGTACTAACTGTTATTTCACTATATTTGGAAGTAAGTGCCACTTTCATTGTCTTAAAATCAAGTAATATACCAGATGGAATTCTCTCTTTTTTTTAGTGTGGATGTAACGGATGAAGTTTTGTTGATGAAAGATAGAGTAAAAGATGACTGGGAACTGGAGATGATTTTTCTATTGTACATAATCGTAATATGATATCAATAACTTTTATGAAACTGCACTGAAGGCTAGCATAGAGGTGTATAAACTATGATGTTAGTGCCTTTTTGGCAATTCATGTCTTTTTTCATATAATTTCATCCTGGAACAACTGATGCTTGTTAGCAAATTTTTATCTTCTGATTTCCATTCCTGTTGATTACACAAGGGCATAATTAGATTGAATGATTGTGTTACTTCTAAGCCTGTTGTGGCTGTATATTGTACTCTTGTGAATATTTATATGACTCATAAATGTCTGACTGACATGAAAACTGGCTGCCTTTTGTCCATCTTTTTTTACCACACGCACAGAAAATTCACTATTGGTAAAAGTGCTCATTTAGGACTTCAAAGAATCATTTGGGGTTCACACACAATCATAATACTGTCCACCTTACAACAGTCCTCATGCTACCTTCCTCTGGGCAGTACTGACTGGTAATGATAGGTGGCACTGCAGTGGGAAGGATGCAGTCCCAAATGTGACTAAAAGCTTGTATGCCCCCTCATTTTTGGCGACGCCTCAGGGGCGGAGCCCTTAGTATAGTACTGCGATTGAATTGCCAGGAATTCTAAATATTCCACGCACGCATTCCCTAGGGAATTCATTTTTGGCAACACCTTGCGGTTGAGGTCTTTCCTCCCAGGGAATTCATTTTTGGCAACACCTTGCGGGTGAGGTCTTCCCTCTCAGCTGCTTAGCTGTTTTTCAATGACTTTGGAGCTTTTCCGACAGCTTGGACAGGAACATTGTTTGGAATTGAACAAGGTCAGCATTTGAAGTCAGATGTTTCAAAGGAGATGTCGTGATTGTCTGAATATAAACCAATATGTCACCGCGTTTAGTTGTTGTTTTTTTCTAGTAGTTTTCCTTCTCTTTATGAAAAGTATGTGTTTGGACACAAGGCCATGTTGATTTGATTATATGGATGACATCCGCGCGCGCATGAATTTCCGGCCGTTTCCAAAAAAAAGAAGTTTTCAACCATACTGTAAATCGTGCAAAACAGTTGCTAAATGAGCAAAAATTACCATAAGTTGCAAGGAAAACATTTAGAAACGATACCAATGTCGTAGCTATAGAATGCCAAAATCAAAGGAAAAAATGTAAAGAAATGAATTCGAAGAGTAGATTATTCGCCATAACATATTCTGTGCCATTTG